TATATATTGATGATTTACGTAATTCGTCAACAAAGCTTTCTTTTCGATTATTTGGTGATGATGCTAATATATTCTATGCTAGTAAGAACCTTAAAGAAATCGAAACAGTTATGAATGAGGAATTCCAGAACATTTTGAAATATTGTAATGCTCATAAATTAGTCTTTTGCATATTTATAGACAATTTATGTTAATTTGCTCCCCCCAAAAATTACTTCCTTCAAACATAAAAATATTAAATATTGAGCAAAAAAAGTGCATTAAATACTTAGGTATATATATGGATGAGCACTTGAATTGGAAAAGCCAAATAACCCACGTAAATAGCAAAATATCTAAAAATTTAGGTATATTTTATAAGTTACATAATTATTTAAATGTTCACATGCTAAAACAATTGTATTATACCCTCATTTATCCATACTTAAGCTACGGATCTATGAGTTGGGGTAGTAATTACTCAAGTAATTTAAAAAAACTAACTGTGAAACAAAATAATTGTGTTCGTAGTATCTTTTTTGTAAAAAATAGACAATCTGCGTCACCTTATTATCAATTACTTGAAATATTAAAATTTGAAAATATTGTTAAATTAAAAACTGCTATATTAACACATAAATTGTTTGTCAACCCTTCAAGTGTCCCCTCACTATTTCATAACTTTTTAATGCCTGTGAAAAATATTCATAGTTACAATACAAGGCATGCAGCAAGATGCAACTTCTATCAGCCAAAAATAAGAACAAATTTTGGAAAATTTACTTTCAAGTACTCTGCGTCAGTGTTATGGGAGAGCATTACAGTTTCCGTAAAAAAATTGCTAACGACCAGTAATTTTAAAAGACAGTATAAAGTAGATTTACTGTCAAACCAAATTAATAACCCTTAGTTAAATTGGGAATGTATTACTTCATTTATTTTATACCGCAGTTAAGTAGTTATACTTAATTAATGATTAAGTTAATAAAAAATAGCGGCTTTAATTTAGTGTATTATGCTAACTTTCTCTGCTACTTTTCTTTCTCTTCTTTTGACCAAGAGTTCAATTTATTGACTTACGTGAAATCCAAATAGTTAATAATGAGATATATGCAATTAGCTCAAAAATTTACCTAATAAATCAAAAGTAGACAGTGGCCAACTCGAAAGCTTATGCTACTTTGGTCACCGTGCACAATTTTAACATCATAATTTAAAACTTTTTAATGTACTTATACTGAATATACATCATGAATATCTCTCCTAATGTAATATATATGCCAAATAGTGTGAATAAATTGAACTTGAACTTAATCTCATTGGACAATCACATTTAACAAGCTCCAAGCTAATTGGCTGACCTAATTGAAGCATTCAAAGGCTTGTTACAAACATTGGACTTTGTCGTCGTGAGAATGTACTATGTTTATATTCTGACTATATGTTTGGATCCTAACCCAAAACGATATACAGACTATGTTTAGATCCTAATCCCACCAGTATGGAATGAAGGTGGTGTGCACAGCAACATTGCTCCTGCTAATATATTTACCAGTAATTTGGTGCACATTTTGTCAAATGTTGTGCAGTGCACAAAAAGTGTCATTCCATACAGGCTAATCCTAACCCAGTGGCCTTAACCCATAACCCTATCCCCAAACCTTACCCCAAGGCTTAAACCCTAATCCCCAAGTCCTTGGCTCAAGGCCTATTTATACCTTTTAAGTAATTTTGCATCTTCTTGTTTGTATTTGGACAGAAGTCTGTCCATTCTCTAACGGCAATCTCTTGCCTTCAACGCAACAGGTTTTCCATCAGTACTAAAGTGTTCACTCAGACGATTTGCAATTTCATCCCAATCGTTTGGCTTTTCGGGTCGAGAAGCTGCCACTTCCCTTGCCAATGCAATGTCATTTTCAATACTCGGCCGTTTCCAATATACCGAAACGCTATTTCAAGTCTAGCCTGCAAACAGGCTTACTGGGAGAAGGGTGAGCCTGCATGGAACCATGCATTTTATTCAATCATCCCCTTTTCGCATCTGCTAAACGCGAACCAATCAGCGTCGACTGCGATAAATAAACTGTCAAAATGACGCAAGGCGTGTACATTGTACAACGAAAAAAGTAAGAAATTAGAAATGTAGTAATGTACTGTATATATAAACAATAATACTCGGAAAAAATATAGAATTCTCCAGATAATAGATTAAGAGTCATAATCAATACACATACAAATATAAAGCCGAATAAAATACTACCATTGGCATTGAATGTAAATAATACTTGTACTATGTGTGACTGAAAGAACAATGTTCTGAATATTTGAAACTGTTACTGTAAAATATGGTCAGATAGATTGGGATTTGGAATACCGAATACATCTAAAATTTTATTAACTGTGGTCTAAATGAGCATATGTATTTATTAATTTCTTCGAAATCACGAGTGTGCCAATACTCAATAGTGGCTGTTTAATGTACGACTTATGACATAGATTAGCCACTACGACATAGACAGCGATAGATTCAAGTTATTTATGATACACTTTTTTGCTGTGATGCTTTGTTATTGCTTTTAGTTTCCATTTCTATTTTTATTTTGCTCGATAGTATTATATTTAGATGAATGTCAGTGAGTGTAAGCCAATCAGAAGCCCCCGTTTCTATATGAATGCTACTATCAAGAAAACCTATAGTTCCGTGCAGGCCCTCCTTTCTTCGTGCCGCTCGTAACCCAGGAGGGCTGTTAGCAGGCTATTTCAAGTCAAACTTGCTTACAATCACGTTTAGAAAGCAATGTTATTAGATTTACATCACCTTGTAGTACTGAATGATTCAACACTTCGACGCCCAATCGAAGGCCTACTAATAATTGCTGCTTAGCGCTGTTAACATAGCTTGATAATGCGAATCTTGTGACATTTGCACTAATAACAGTATGTGCCACATTAATATTTTGTCAAAACTTGATTTTTCTCAACGGTCAGCAGTTCACAGTTTGGCTTAAAAAACGTTAAAATTTCCTTGCCAAAATATTGAAGAAAACATTAATTCTCAACAAACATCGAAATTAACGGAGCAAGTGGGAGGATCCACTGTGGACATAAGTAAACTAGTACACAAGAGTTATATATATATTGGTTTACATATATTTTATACTGCCAATCCTAAATACTAGTCTATTGTTGATTGTTGTCCTATCTCGTTTTATATAGATAACATTGAACTACCCAAACAGCACTGTGAAAACAATAAATTGCCAGATAAGTATAAAATGATAGGAAGACAATTAGCTGTGGGAAATCCAAAGTCAATTGCTTCGGCAGTAACGAGCAAACCTGGATTAAGAGATGCGATTTTTGAAGGTGTTTCCAAACAAGTTATGTGTGAGATTGCTGGTCTTTGTGTCAAATCAAATCCTTCATTATTGTGATGTACATCCAAGGAACAGCTGATAGCCTTCTCTTGGGAAAAACTGCATGAAGAAATGAAAGAAAGGGCACCGATGTTTCTACAGTTTCTCAATGCATCAATAAGTAACCCATCTCAGTCCAGCAATATCAACAAGCGTACAGAGACTTTACTAGCATCGATGTTAAATGCTGGCTCTGAGTTGGTCTTGATTTTCAACGAAGATATGAATGCAGTGCAAAGAATTAAGTCCATATATTGAAGAAGGGAGGATTAAAGAAAGTATCTTTTATCCGTTTATTTCCACTATATGTCTGTATGGGGTACAAGTCGACCAACAAGATGCTGGAAGACCTGCCCCTAAGTGGTTAATACATTTTTGGTGGCCCCCCAAATATCTTCCCCCCCCCCCAGCATTAATAGTGACTGCTCCCTTAGACTCGTAAGTATGTTTTTTCCTAAGGATCATTATATGTACCAAATGGTTGCATTCAAGAATCTTGTCTCAAACAACCACTTACCTGCGGGCAAACCAGAATGTGACATCAACACAGAGTCATACACAACATTCTTACCAAGCGCAGAAGAGCAACTCAAGTTGGTTAACGAGTTAGTCATTCTTGTAGGACACAAGTGGGCCGAACATGTACCTGAATTGTCCTGGTATAAAGACTTTTTACCTGATCACATACAGCATAATAAAATGGAGGAGATGAAGAGAAAGACAGAAAATGTAATTTATGATTAGGCTTTGGAAAAGATTTTGACGCCCAACTTAACAACAACAACAACAACAATAACTTTATTACACCTTTTTTAGCATTAATTATTTACAAAATGGAGAGAAATATATACAATATATAAGTTGATGTGCCACGTATGGTATATATATACTATGTTTAAGGTGTCTAGAAGCTAAATAAACTGAAGTTTTCTAGTTGGCTCCCAGCTATATAAGGATATATACTGATTTATTATAGCAACACAACAAACAAAACAATCACAGACAAAACAAAATAAACATTGGCAGTCAAATTTTATTTACTATTTTGATTTTGAAGTAAGAATTGTTTAACTTTTCCATTAAATGAGAAATTCGGTAGAATTTTAAAGTCACAAGGAAGTTCTTGCCATAAATCAACTGCTATTGCACCCGATTAGCGCGTTTGACGCCGGCTGACAGCCGGAAATTTTGTCTCCGATTGCTCGGCTGCCAGCCGGGCTGTACTATAGTATACTATTCGTTCAAAAAATGCGCGCATTTTGGAGACTGGTTCTAGAATGTTTCATAAGCAGAAAACCACCAAAATTACATTAAATTTTCCGAAAATCATCGAAATGCATCTAAATTCATCTTCCCAATGCATATAGCTAGCTATGCGACAGGTAGATAAACGAGAAAAAAAAACAATTTCGGCAAAAAGAAAAATTCAAATTCGTTTGCGCGCATTCCGGGACAGAACTCACGACCTTCAGCATACACGCTGAGTCTTGTCCCTCTGCGCCACCACGTCTTACACGGAAAATATGTTAATTTATTGTATATATACAGGTTATTCTTAGCCAGCTCGATTAAAGATTGCGTAAATACGTACACCATCGTACACGGCCATGGGTAAAGTAGCAGCCGAGCCGTATCTACACTTTAATACAATACTTACAATACATCGCGGCATAGATCACGGCTTCCAGCCGGGGTTATTTAACTGTAATACAATACTACCATGCAATACGAGTGTCAGCCATGCCTGTCGGTAGTATACTGTAGTATACTATGATACTTCACGGCTACCAGCCGACAATACGGCTATCAGCCGGGCCTGTCTGTAGTATACTATAGTATACTACAATACATCGCGGGTACCAGCCGACATTACTTACAATACATCGCGGCATAGATCACGGCTTCCAGCCGGGGTTATTTAACTGTAATACAATACTACCATGCAATACGAGTGTCAGCCATGCCTGTCGGTAGTATACTGTAGTATACTATGATACTTCACGGCTACCAGCCGACAATACGGCTATCAGCCGGGCCTGTCTGTAGTATACTATAGTATACTACAATACATCGCGGGTACCAGCCGACAATACTTACAATACATCGCGGCATAGATCACGGCTTCCAGCCGGGGTTATTTAACTGTAATACAATACTACCATGCAATACGAGTGTCAGCCATGCCTGTCGGTAGTATACTGTAGTATACTATGATACTTCACGGCTACCAGCCGACAATGCGGCTATCAGCCGGGCCTGTCTGTAGTATACTATAGTATACTACAATACATCGCGGGTACCAGCCGACAATACGGCTATCAGCCGGGCGTGTCTGTAGTATACTATAGTATATTCAGGGGCGCACATTCAAAAAGAATTTGGGGGGGTGTCCTATTTTCCGGGACCGACTTTTGTAGTATTTGTGTTTGATAAAAAAGCCAACTATTTTAAGGTGTGTATAGCACTCGTGAACCGGTGAAAGTTCGGTTTAATTAATGTCACAGTCTTGTTATAAATACAATTAATATAAAATTTAAGAGTTGGACTTATGGTGCAGGGCCGTAGGGAACTGTTTTCGATTGGGGGGGGGGGGCTGAAAGCGAGGTCCGAGGAAATTTTTAAATTTAGAGTCTCTGCAATGCCATTTCCTGGACTTTGGGGGAAGATTTAACAGAATTCTGATAGTCAGAAAAAAGCGTTTTAGTATGTCGAAATTTACAATTTAGTAGTGCTAAATGGCCGAAGGCGTATTTAATAGCTATTATATGTTGAATAAGTTGCAGGAAAGTGTGGGTAATACTATGGATTGTAAAATAACATGTACTTTATTATCCATGGTAATACCTTCATTCTTTGCAGTTTGTCACAGATTAATTGATAAAGGTCTGCATGACATGCTACGCGGCCCTGTGGTTATTGCACGAAGTCGAGTAACTATGTAAAAAAACAGTAGTATACAGGGGTGTCAAAAAGTAGACCGTTAGAAATTAACCTATTGTTCTAATTTGAATTGATAGCCAATATATTAGCCACAAGCCCACAGTATTATTAAAGAATAGTACATTATTATAGTCAAGAGCTCAACTATAAACAATAATGGTTCAAAATAAATCTATAGTGTGTGCCCACATGATATTCAACTAAGAGTATTAAATATCTGACAACTCAAATTGTTTAGAAAGTTATAGCAATTAGCAATAGATTTCAGGCAGTCAAATCAGTTTTTAAATAGTTCACTTGCACAGCCTATTTGATCGAAAAATGACAATCGGAATTACTTCACACAAATAAGGCGTTCTGTTTTGGCAGCTCGGCCCAACGATCAACAACAGTGTCTGGGTCCATTATATTGTATCCGTGAGATCCTTTTCACATCCAAGAGTGATTAGATCCCTTAGCCTTCTTTCTTTCATCACTGAACGAATGGCAGTCTTAATCAATGTAAGATTCGAACTCGAAAAGCTGCGTGTTTACTCGATGCGGATGTAATCGGCTATCTAAAATTATGTGTATAAACGCTATACACTGCAACATACCTCGGTAACCTCGCTTCGATTTATTATAACGTAGACAGCGGATGGACTCATAGACAGGGTCAGGGATAGTATTCCAAGAGTTTAAATAAACGTTTAGTTTTTCAGAACTTCTGCTCTAAACTTTCAGGGGGCCAAAATTTTTTATGGATTTCGGGTGCGAGCGCCGAAGGCGCGAGAAAAATTTTGAATTTCTAGGTTCATTAGAACGCTATTTCACGTATTTTAGGGCGAAGTTGGAAGAAAAGTTACAACCACAAAAAGTCGCCTAATTTTGTTAGATTCCATTTCCAAAATGTCCACCTATTTCTTTTTTCGACACAAAATGATGTCTTTCAGATTTTAGCCGGACCGACTTTTTTTCGTCCCATACAGGTTTCGGGACCGACTTTTTAGATATATTTCACAAAACCCACACACCCCCTAATGTGCGCCCCTGAGTATATTACAGACAGGCCCGGCTGATAGCCGTATTGCCGGCTGGTAGCCGCGATGTATTGTAGTATACTATAGTATACTACCGACAGGTTCGGCTGACACTCGTATTGCATTGTAGTATTTTATTACAGTTAAATAACCCCGGCTGGTAGCCGTGATGTATTGTAGTATACTATAGTATACTACAGACAGGCCCGGTTGATAGCCGTATTGTCGGCTGGTAGCCGTGAAGTATCGTAGTATACTACAGTATACTACCGACAGGCATGGCTGACACTCGTATTGCATGGTAGTATTGTATTACAGTTAAATAACCCCGGCTGGAAGCTGTGATCTATGCCGCGATGTATTGTAAGTATTGTATTAAAGTGTAGATACGGCTCGGCTGCTACTGTACCCTTGGCCGTGTACGATGGTGTACATATTTACGCAATCTTTAATCGTGCTGGCTAAGAATAACCTGTATATATACAATAAATTAACATACTTTCCGTGTAAGACGTGGTGGCGCAGAGGGACAAGACTCAGCGTATGTGCTGAAGGTCGTGAGTTCGGTCCCGGAATGCGCGCAAACGAATTTGAATTTTTCTTTTTGCCGAAATTGTTTTTTTTCTCGTTTATTTACCTGTCGCATAGTTAGCTATATGCATTGGGAAGATGAATTTAGATGCATTTCGATGATTTTCGGAAAATTTAATGTAATTTTGGTGGTTTTCTGCTTATGAAACATTCTAGAACCAGTCTCCAAAATGCGCGCATTTTTTGAACGAATAGTATACTATAGTACAGCCCGGCTGGCAGCCGAGCAATCGGAGACAAAATTTCCGGCTGTCAGCCGGCGTCAAACGCGCTAATCGGGTGAATAGTCCTAAATTTTCCACTCTGTTCGCCCGCCATTTTGAAAGTTTCGCTCTGTATACTTCATGTAACTTGCATGTTTTGGATACTTTTGCAACGAAAACCGCTGCCCCCGCGTATCGCATATTGGCGCTTTTGGATGCATTTTTGACAGGCGTGACAAAGATATTTAACATGTCATTGGAACAGCAACGTGTTCCCCTCCTATGGAAATTAGCCAATCTTAATCCAATACCTAAGGAAAGTCCCCTTATAGAATGT